CGCGGCGGAGCTGCGGCACCGCGGCCCCGGCGGGAGGCCCGGACAGACAGACAGACAGACAGACAGACAGACAGGGGCCGCGCTAGCCTTCGTGTGCCTTACGGGGATTTGGTAGGGTGCCTCATTGACATCTTGTGTATTCTTGCAAACCAAGTAGGAATAACTGAGTTTCTTAGCAAGTGGGTGCTAAAGGCTTCTCTGTTGTAATCAGTTCATTGGCAAAAGTGTCCTGAGAAAAGAAACGGAGAGCAAAGATAAGAAATCACAGGTAGAAGCAAATGCAAGGTAATAATTCAGGTGCCTTGGAAGGATCTTGTAATGCTGAGTGGGCAGTAAAGTGATGTGAAGTTCAGTGTTAAGTGAAAAGTCACAGGTGTCTGGAAAACCACTCTAATTGTATTTGTATATGTACACATGGTTATGTTTTGCATTTCAGAAAGATTTTTAGAGGGTATTTCTGTAAAAACTTTATGATTTGCTGCTGGGAAACACAGAGTCTTGCAAACTAACTCTAGGTTAAGGTACACTAAACAACATGATCAAAAGAATCACCCCAGTAAACAGAATTTTCTGTATGTGTCTGTATGTCAGTATATCCTGGTTCCCCATCATTGAAAGCAGACTGAAATTAGAAAGTGTCAGGGACAGTGGGAGACAAGGAATGGTCAGAATGAAGAAAAACCAAGTAGATTAGGACTTGCATCATTTCTTTGAAGCAGTTCACTAACATCTTAATTTCCTTTTTTAGAATGATAATAAAGCAAAAGAGAAAAGAATTTCTGGAGGAGCCTGTACAGAAAAAGAAAAAGGTGAAGACAATCATTAAAATTGAGGAAGATGTTCAAACTGTCATTAAAACTGGGGACAATGGCCATCTCAAGAAAAAAACAAAGACAAGGAAAAAGGAGGATTTAAAAAATGAGTATTTATACAAGTCGCAACCAAAGAACAGTAAGAAAAAGAAGAAGAAGAAAGTTAGGTCTGAATTACTCAGAGAACCTCATTTAGAAAGCTTTGTGAATATAAAAGGTCATCTGGATTTACAACTTCAAGAAGAATCAGAGAAACAAGTTAAAATACTCAAAAAGAAGAAGAGAAATGTCCAGTGTCATTTCTCCTTGGAGAATAATGAGAGTAGTGATGTGGACCTTTCAAATCATCACAGAGATTCTACTAAGAGAAGTGAATTCTCTTTTAAAAAAAAGAGGAAGCATACTGCTTTGGATTTGGAGTTGGATGGTGAGGTAACAAAGAAAAAAAAGAAGAAACACAGTTTTTCATTAGAGGACATCCAGGACGGTGAAAAAAACCAATCTGCCAAAGTTTGTAAAAACACCCACAAATACATTTCACAAGAAGTTTTTGTGGGTGAAAACTATGGCACAGGTCATGCCCAGAATGGTGGGGAGACTTGTGTGAGAAGAAAGAAGAAGGAGAAAAAGAAGGATAAGTCTGACTGGTTTTTACCACTGACAGATAATCAGGACAAAGTACATCAAGGTCCTGGTAGCCCCATTGCATTAAGTGACTACAGAAAAAGGAAGAAACATAATTCCTGGGAATTTACATTGACAAACAGAGAGGAAGAGGACAAAATTAAGAACTTTGGGTGTATCAAAGAGAGGAAGAAGAAGAGGAAGAGAAAAGATACTTCTTCCTCAATCTGTGAAGAAGATAAGCCAGACTGCAGTCACAGCATTCCTAATAGACATCTCCCAGCACAGCAAGAAGTTGAGCTTGAGGAAGAAGAGCTGTCTGGAAAGAGACACAGGAAGAATTTCAAAGGTAATAACGAAGTCAGTAAGAAGAAAAAGAAGAAGATGAAGAAAAAGGAGGATGAAACAACATGTTCTGAAGTTTATTTGAACAATGGCAATGCCTCCAAAAGTCAAAAAATGCAACTAGAAAGCAATAAAAAGAACAAAGAGAGTGAAATGGAGCGAGCTCAGTGTGTTACAGGGGATGCTGTAGATGGGGCATTATGCAATAGTAATCCTGTGCTGCATGACAGAAAAAGGAAAAAACCGAAAAAAGTACCACCACAGGACTTTACTGTAGAACCAGGTTCAAAAGCAGATACAAAAAAGATGACAGAATCAGCATGGAGTGAGTCACTGGTAAGTGCAGAGAGGAGGGCAGCTTTGCACCCTTCTGCTAAGGAACTGAAAGCCTTTTGGGCGTTTTCCTGCTTTGCAGGCTGCTCTGCCTGTTCCTAACATTGAGGTCAGTGAGGGCCCCCACTGGGTGTTGGGAAGCAGGATCAGCTGATGGATTTCAGCATGTCATAGTTCACAGATCACAGAATATTCTGGGCTGGAAGGGACCCACAAGGATCATCAAGTCCAGCTGTTAATTGTAGGGCCCACACAGGGATCAAACACACAGCCTGGGCTCTGCAGCACCGTGCTGCAGCTGAGCTGATCCTGTACAGGGGAAGCACTGATGCCTGCTGCAGTCACCACCTGGTGTTTCACTTAGGAAAATGTAAATATTACAACTAGCAGCAAGTATTGGCCCGTAAAGAAAGTGGGTTTGTACAGTCATAAATGTTCTGTTGCTCTTAGCAAAGTGGCAACACTCTTCATAAAACAGGAGTTTAATACCATGTGATTTACCCTGAGCAGGTGGTAATTGTGGCAGCACGAGTTCATCTAACTGTCTGTTAGATTTTCCTCAGGCTTTGCTGCTGTCAGTGCTGGAATTATATAATGTTAGAAACAAAGGGGAAAGTTAGCCAAAACCTGTTGAATAATTCTGACAAAACTTCAGAGAAAATCCTAAGAATCCTAAGTGTAAGCTGGACCAAGAGCATTGAAATACAAATTCTGATAGAAAAATACTACAGGACCTAAACACACAGTTTTAATTAAAACAATAAATCTATGCAAGAAAATAAATAGATTTAAGAATTGTGTAAATTTTAACTGAGAGTAGCTGGGACTGTATCCTGACTGACTGGCAAAGGAAATCCCATCCCAGAGTCTTGCTGTACTTGCTGTTTCTGAGGTAAAATGAACTGATGAAATATTTGAAATATTGATAGTTTTTCTTTATCTGATCAAAGTCATGTTTTAAAGCTAAGGGTGCCAAAAGTTAGTGCCTACATGCCCAACTTCTGTTATCATTGGG